CTCATCCGCTCGCCTCTTTTTGGTGAGGCTGTTGCCTAGCAACTTCAGAGTGACATCAGCAGAGTCCGGGAGGAACGCTCTGATTGGTTACGATGCCTGGCGTGAATTCCGATTGGATGGAGAAAAGAAGAATCTGGAGTGTTTAAAAGCTGCTTGAACTTCTTTAACCTTTCGTTTGACTCCTCTGGAGCTCTTCTCCAGTTCATTGACCAAAAACAGGCTGAATTTACAGCACAAGCCGTACCAAGAAACAGGCAGCGCTTCACTGGAAGTCCCAGCGGTCTGCAGGCCTCCTCCTGTGAGTTACTTGTTGACATTTCACTCCAAACAAACAGCTTCTAAATTGACTTGAAGGAAATCAGTTTTCCCTTTGGATCCTACTGCGACTAAACGCTCTCTTGGAGATGCATTGCTTGTTAGTGCTGTTTTGTTTACTGCTATTGCATATTACAAGCACTCATAGTTAAGTTGAGGGATTCAAACAAATTCCCAGTACTGCGATTTCCATTGCATCACTGAATGCATTATGCAGATTTTGGCCATCATGCATATGTGTATTTAATTAGTGCTGTTTGCTGATGTAAGCTTAAACTTCAGCATGTGATGTTTCTTGTCTGTTACTTTAAGTCAATTCTGGTTGATTTGGCTTTGTAACAAACCTGGTTACTGTAAGTCGTATCTTGAGTTTTCATGAGAGCTGCAACTTCACGCAGCTCCAGCTTCTCCCAGAAGCCTTTGCAGTGTCAGATTGGACAGTTCATAGTGTGATCAGGCTGGATGTGTGTCTGTATCCAGAGATGCCGATGGCTTGATTCTGTTTTCACCAGAGCTGTTAGAGAAAGCTTCTCCCAGAAGCCTTTGCAGTGTCAGATTGGACAGTTCATAGTGTGATCAGGCTGGATGTGTGTCTGTATCCAGAGATGCCGATGGCTTGATTCTGTTTTCACCAGAGCTGTTAGAGAAGCAGGAATGTGTGTGTGTGTGTGTGTGTGTGCGTGCACGTGTGTGTTTGTGTGTGTGTGTGTGTGTGTGTGTGCGTGCATGTGTGTGTTTGTGTGTGTGTGTGTTAGAAATTCAGTGTCCTTCATAAAGCATTCTCTGTGAGCGAGCTGAGAGACAGAGACAGAAAGGGAAAATCAGATCTGAGTCATGGACACATAAAATTATTCACAAACAGTCATAAAGTGAATCTGACAAAACCTTATTCATGTTTTTATGAATACGTCATAGTTCAAAGTGTATTTTGCATAAAGCCATCAATATTTTTTGTGTCATTTAAACACATTAAGGACCATTTTCATTTTCATAATGCATACAAGTCTTATACTTATTACTGTAATGGGAAATGTATTAAAGTATTTAGACATCATGGTAGTATTTATTGTATTGGCATCTAATTTATGCTGATTTCTAAAACGTTATCATAGTGCTATTGAGATATAATAATAATAATAATAATAATAATAATAGTAATAGTAACAATCATATTAATATTATTAATAATTTATTCATATTCATGTTGTCATCTATGATATACATTTTATTTATAATATGTAACTTATTATTATTACTGTATTATTTTTGTTATTTAAAAATATATCAATATATAAATAATACTAACTGTATATATATTTATATACTGTGTGTGTTTGTATGTTAGGGATGTTCATTTTGGTTATTTCTCCTAACCGACGCTCGTTAACCGATTATTAACCGTTAACCGACAAGATTATTTTAAATTAGAATTGAATGAAATTATAAAGGATAAGTGTCTGTGATCCATTAAAAATACTAAAAAAAAATGTTCCAGGGATTAATTTTACATGCACAAAAAGCAGCAAACAAAAGATCATGAAGATTCACATGGTCACATCACGCACCTGCAGCTCTTCAGCGATGAATGAATAAATAGGCCTATACGAGAAATATATTTTTACTTAAATAATAAATTATCAAATTGAAAGAAAAAACTGTGCAACAAGTAGGCTAGTCTAGTATGCAGAGTTTCGGTTCATGCATTGTTGTGGTGCATGCGCGAAAGGAAACCAAGATGGCAGAAAGCGGCATCTTATTTTTCTTTATTTTATAAAAGCACAAAGATTTGTTTTATTGTGAATGTACACAAATAAAAGCAAACCTTTTACAGTTTTGATTATCTGTATGACTAGGAGTAATTGTTTCCATTGTTAGAAGGAGAAAATTCAAGCATTGCTAACTTGACAATGCAGCCTGTTCATTATCATAATAAAATACAGTCAGTCAAACATATGGAAAAAACACACTGCTCAGTTTAAATATGTAGTAAAATCTGTGCACACATTTTGTTTTACATGGACATTGGAACGCGAGTGAAGTACAAAACCAGGTTTGCATAAATAATATTTTGGCATTCAAGTACATCGCGTATACGGAAACATTTGGATTTGTGTTGAATGAGAGACCCAACTTTGGTTTCAGTTTCGTTTTAGCCTAAATTAATTTGTTTTGGCTTGCATAGCTATAGCTTCTTACATTTTTTTTTCTTGTTCTTTTCTGAATACTGTTAAATTTAAAAGATTTGCTGTGGAGTGAGGGGAACTAAAATAGTCTAGCCTATAGGTTTATAATGTTTGTAAACATTTCGCGTTGGCATTAGGCCTGTTTCTGAATGAAATAATAAAATGTGACTTATAGGTTACACAACGTGTTTTTTTTCTCTCAAAATTGTTATTTTATTTTATAGGTCTTCGTGTAGCGTATTTTAACCATGCAGCAAACGTTTTAAAATATTTTGAGTAGTAACCGTAAACCGTATTGAGAATAATAATAAAAGCCATGCATTATTTTGCTTACATAAATACTATATATAAATATTATTCATTTTATTCATATTATTTATTATTTATATTATTCATAGTATATGTATTATTAAATGTTATGTATAAATGTCATTATGTTTAAAGAATTTTTATTTTTATTTTATATAATATTTTCTGTGAAACACACACACATATATAAATATAATTTTTTAAATAATAAAACTAAAAATAAATATATATATAGAATATATTAGATTTTTTTGTAATGTTTAAATAATAAAAAATTATGAGATAATAAATTACTTTTATTAGTATTTTTATTTTATATCATATATATTCTCTGAATTATGTAATTATGTATATATATATTCAAAGTAATAAAACTGAAATAAATAAAGCACTTTTTTTTTTACTTTTTGAGATGAATGATAAGCCAGACACATTTTTTTTGTCAGATTCACCACAAACATCATGCAATCAGATCAGAATAAAACTGGAAAAAATAACAACAACATGAGTTACAGGTGTCTAGTAGGATTAGGCTTGCCGCGATAGACGGTGCTGACGGTGATACCGGTGTTAAGCCGCAACACCGGTTACGTCACCGCGTCACCGACCCCCACCGTCGTTTTGATTTTTTTAATAGAAATAAAAATCTTTTAGTAAAGAGAACAGCCATATATGTATTATTAAATGTTATGTATAAATGTCATTATGTTTAAAGAATTTTTATTTTTATTTTATATAATATTTTCTGTGAAACACACACACATATATAAATATAATTTTTTAAATAATAAAACTAAAAATAAATATATATATAGAATATATTAGATTTTTTTGTAATGTTTAAATAATAAAAAATTATGAGATAATAAATTACTTTTATTAGTATTTTTATTTTATATCATATATATTCTCTGAATTATGTAATTATGTATATATATATTCAAAGTAATAAAACTGAAATAAATAAAGCACTTTTTTTTTTACTTTTTGAGATGAATGATAAGCCAGACACATTTTTTTTGTCAGATTCACCACAAACATCATGCAATCAGATCAGAATAAAACTGGAAAAAATAACAACAACATGAGTTACAGGTGTCTAGTAGGCTTGCCTGTTGACTTTTGCCGTTTATCTAAGGTGATTTTGGAAGTTTTTCTTATTTAATTGGTTCCACATTGTTTGCTGATTTTTACTTTATTTCAACTTTGATTCATTTATTTATTTTATTTGACATCAAGGTGTATGCCGTGCCTCCAAGCTTTCTTACTCGTTTTGCTAATAAACGTTCTACGTTTCTTATTTATTTGGTTATATATTATACATGTTTACTTAGCCTATTTCCAGTTTTGTATACCTATTTAAACTTTATGTAAGTTATTTGTTATTTTATATTAGGCATAGCCTGCCCTATAGCATGATGTATTTGTATTTGTTTTTTAATAAAAGTTCTATGTTTTATATATACACGCTAAAGTGAGTTTGACGTTGTATTTTGTTGTTGCCTTCAAGCAATTGACGCCTAACTGCCGCTAATTCAAAAGTGAAAGTAAAATGAGCACGGCGCTTTTAAGCTATTTAAAAGCGGCGGAAAGCGAGGAAAAGAGGGAACATTCAAACGAACAATTGCTTTACGCCGAATTGCCGCTATTTCAAAGTGAAAGTAAAATGCGCACGCCGCTTTTACAAGCTATTTAAAAGCAAAGGAAAGCAAGGAAAAGAGGGAACGCCCCCACCCCCACGGTGATACCGGTATTACCAGTGTTGTCACACGTCGATTAACCGGTGGGAAAATTTCCTCACCGTCACAACCCTAATGTACACACATTGTTTTTACATACAAAGATATGAATCAACATTATTTTCTGACATAATCAACAACATGCCACAAATGCAGAAACAAAATTGCTTTAAAGAATATTCCTTTTATTTCTAGAGCTACATCTGAAGTGTGAACCAATCATAGAGCTCATTCTCTTGATGTCTCATCACACAGCCACCAGAGGGCTCTGTTTCCAATTACTGATCAACAAGGGTTTAGCAGTTTAAATTCTCAATGTTTCTTTTGTATTTTGATTTTGTGTCCATGAATTCAGTTAATTCAGTAAAATACCAGATGTCTTTAAACCATATGCTGCGTTAAAATACACCACGCTGTAAAATTACATACAAAGAGCCTCTTTCTCTCTCTCTCTCTCTCTCACACACACACACACAGCGGCTGTAGAGCGAGAGGGAGGAGCTGCAGTGAGTAACAGAGAGCGAGCGTGAGTGTATCTTCAGAGCGCTCGGTCAGCTGTAGTACTAGCAGCAGTGGAGTATGTGTGTAGAGCAGAGCTGAATGTGTGTGTGTGTGTGTGTGGTGACCGCCGAATTACCGCCGCAACCCCTCAGCCTCGCCCTCTTCAGGGTGAGGCCGCCCTCATGATGAAGCAAGACGGGATCCTGGGCCGCCGCAGGTTCTCCACCTGTGGAGGAACCATCTCGGGCCGCCCGGCTCATCCCGATGGACGCAAACTCATACGCAACGCCTCGTTTGGGGGCTACAACGAGCTGTCCGTCTGCTTGCCAGGTGGGTCCATCTCGGGAAACTTTTACGTGATTTATTTGTTTGGCAGGTAATTTCGATCAATGCATTTGTGCCAGGATGGGTAACTGTAGCAGCAGTCTATTAAGTTTTATTGTTTTGGCAGCTTGCTGTCGACTGAACGTGCGTGTTTGACTCTGGACGGCTCTCCAAACTAAAGTGCTTCCATTAACTGACAGCATCTGTTATTCATTGCATCACTGTCCTTTGATGCATTATGTTCATTTCAACCTTCAATAAAATGTCTTGCTATTAAATGCACATTTTTTCAGTATTCATGTGGATGGGAATCGTAAGGAATTTAACTATTACGATTTCGATTTCGATTTAAAAAGTAAACAATAATTTATCCTAACTATATAGCCAGCAATATAGTAAACAAAAAAGTTAGCTTTTTTTTTTTTTTACTTATTTAGTTTAGTGTATTGTTGAGTATATCGTTACAATAAATTACTTGCTAATTATAAAAACAATGATTAAAACATTAAAGCAGTGCCAAAATTGTAATAGTATATATTATTTATAAAAACAAATGTTTTTTGTTTTTTATTAACAGTATTTTAAAATATTGTGATATATTTATAATATTTTATAATATTAATAATATTCTAACACACAAAAAATAATTATATATATATATTTTTTTTTTAATAAAAATATATAAAATATATTACATTTATATTGGTTTTGTGTGTTTTATTAATAATATTATAATATTATTCTATGAATATTTACTCTTATTAATAATATATCTGTATGATTACAATTTTGGTTCCACGTAACGTCTTTATTAATATTTAAATAATTAATGAATAAATTATCCTAAATATATATCAACAACATACTAGACAAAACCAATAAAAATGTGGTAATATATTTTAAAATAGGTTTTTAATATATCATTAATAATTTGGGTCATTAATTGCACTGAACTGAATTGAGTAATCAAGTATTATAATTAAGTAATGTACACTTGTACAGGTTCTGTTTATTTGAAGTTTCTTGTTGAACAGGACCGATTCAACCAGCCTGAATTAGACTGACTGATGAGTTTGAGACTGATTTTTGTCTATAAATATAAATTGACTTTATTAAATTGACAGTAGTATTTTACTACTGTTTTATCTACATTACCAGAAGAATGACATTCAAGAACCAAATCATTCAGTTCCAGTGTTTTTTAAAAAATCGAAATGGTTCCGAATAAGAACCAGTTCTCAGTTCCGTAGTTCTCTGGAACATCATTTGATGGGAATCATAAGGGTGAAAATGGCGTAAATCAGGTCTGTTTTTGCTTTGTCGTCTGCTCAAGGTCAGTTGATCGAGCTGTTCAGCAGGACGCAGATGTTTCTGCTGCAGATATCGAGCAGTTTCAGCTCTCACAGTGAATCTGACTCATGTCAGCGCGGCCTGCGCTCCATTTATCCCTCATGATTATGATTGGAAGAAGAGAGGGATGCATTAAATGCTCTTATTTACGCACGCAGGCCGCTCGCTGCGCTCTGGATGTACCCGACATGCATGCTTCAGAGAGAGTGTTTTTATTTTAAAACTCACGTCTGTACGATTACCCAGCATTTTCATTATCCTCATCCTTTTTTATTTTTTTAATGGAGTTCAATGAGCAGAGATTAGCTAATGGACCCAGAGTGTATTGCATTGGGGCAAATCTTATGTGTGTGCGTCACGTTCACCGGTGTGAAAATCAGCAGGGTTCGCTCACAGAGTAATGGCTTTGATTTAATACTGGATCGCTCAGATCCAGCTTGATGTGTCATTATAGTGGATAAAGATGCAGAGCTCAAAAGCAAATGCTCACTTTTTTCATTTTTCATTCATTTTCCCATAAGCCTAACTAAACTGACTGGTTCAGAAATAAATCGCGATTTCAGAACATTTGCAGAATGAATGAATTTATAATCTTATAAGGATTTAAGATTATTCAGTCAAATCTGTCTGGGTTTTTGTGTTTTTATTGTACTGAAAATGAATTATTTAGGCCTAAATGTAAGATTTTCTATTTGGATTGCATAAAAAAATGTATATCCTTTTAAATAATAATCAAAAATAATAAACTTAATGTAATGCACATTTGTCAGTCATAAATGAAACCTTTCTGTAATATTACTAGAAAACAGAATATATTTTAAATACACATTAACAAGGTTTATATTTTTATCATCAATATATTTTTTGGTTTAATCTCAATAATGATGACTAACTATATTTTAACCATGTTCATGCTTTTCCACTGAGAAACTGTAATTGTTTTCACAATTGATTTATGCTGATTTTATTACATTTTTTACATTTATTAAATCAAATTAATGCATTTTTAATTAAAAAAAAATTATGTGTATTTTTTAATTATTATTTATTTATTTATTTTTTGCAAAAAGCTTACCTATTTCTTAGCTGTTTCTTAAATGTTTCTTAAATCTTATGTGTGTGCCTATTTTTTTTCTTCTCTCTTTTGAACAGCTACAGTACATTATGTTAGAAGATCTTTGCAACTTTCGTTATGTTTTTCCGAGTGAAAAGTGTTGGGCAGGGCTTCATTTTTATCCATTGCGATTTGATTGGATGATGAAAAGTGTCCTTGATGACATCATCTGACAAGGAAATTTGTTTCATAGGTGGAGCAAGTAATTATATGCTGTTGAAAGGTTATTATTATTATTTTTTTCATTTGAATAACATTTTTATTTTATATTCACTTCACATAGCTACTTTCTCCTACATAACCAATAAACAATTTTGTTTAATGAAGTTCAATGCAAAGTTGACAGAAGCATATGTCATTGCTAAACCTCAGAGCACTTGATTTGTCTTTAAAGGTTCATGCATTTTCACCAAAACTGATTTTGAAGGGTATTTTTTTACTTCCGGAACAAGTTGAGCTTTATTATCCCACAGATTAATTTTTGAGCGCGCCACTCCGGATCTGCACTTTACTGTATGAGCTGGCAGATTAGCACAGATGTGTGACTATTAATAGACGGTGTGTGCAGAAACACAGGTGCATTTCCCGTCCTGACACCTGTGTGCTGACCGGATGACTCGCAATAACACTGCATTTATCTTATATGCTGCAAGGACGTGGCGATTTTACTTTATTCTGCATTAATGAGGTTGTGATGCTCACATTGTCAGGTGTAGAGGGTCAAAACGAGAGTTTTAACTCTGTGCTGTTCTGAAAATCCTTTACCTAATTTCATGTTCCCAGGCAAAAATAGCCAGCCTTTTAAAAATTGCTTGTAAATCTCTTTTTAAGCTATATTATTAGCAAATCTTGGATTCCATCTTTTTGTCACCTTGTTTTCTTTTTTTTAGCACAGGTTTTGTATTTCTTTTTTAAACGGATTGATCGTAGGCCTCATTGATCTGAGCTCATGCACCTCAGTTTTTAAATGAAAATTGTATAAATTAAATAATATTATTTTTGCATAATTTTGGCAATATTCACTCAAAAGTGAGGTGCATGAGTTCATATTTGGTATTGGTATTAATATAGCATAAAGAGTTTTTTTTTGTTTGTTTTTTTGGTAGGTCGTCCATTTTTGACCAACACCACAAGTATAACTAGTAAACTAGTATACTAGTTATAGTTATAACTAGTATAATGAGTAAAATTGTGAACATGATTTTAGAATATAGCATAATAATAATAATTATTATTATTATTAGTAGTAGTAGTAGTATTTTTGTTTATTATTTATTTATTTAATAGTTATATTTTTTATAGTGATTAGACAACCAAACTGCAACTATTATGAATATTTAATAATTACAAAAATAACATTATTATTATTAGTAGTAGTAGTAGTATATAAAATAACAAATCATTTTGAATTTCATTATATTATGATGAAAATCAATATCGTGGTTATTATTATTATTAAAAAATATTACAATGATAAATAAAAATTATTAATTACAACAAAAAATTGCAACAAAAAATAGTCCTATAATTTTCTATAGTTAAATTTTTAGTAACAAATTTTGCCTTACACCACCAGTGTAACAAATGTGGGAAAAAGTCAGAAAAAAGTAAAAAAATTATTTATACTGATTTTTGGGGAAGTTGTTATACCCTGTGTTAACAAAGTCAGTAGGTTTTAGTCCAATGCGATGACATTAACTAGCATTTTGAAGAAATTAAAATCCTCTCCGGGTCAAAATGACCCGAACACAACCGTTTAAGTCTGTAGAATCACTCACATGTGGCATGTCTGTCATATGAAGTGTTAAACAGATAGTTTGTCTGTGTTTCAAGACGATCCTCTCTGCCCTTCAGATGGATTTACGGGTGGAATTACACCCGTCTCCGGTGGTTTGTCGTAGTCAAGGACACTGCAGGAGTGTGGAAATATCCCACACGTCACTGTCTCACTGCAGACAAACACAGATACATGCATTCATGCTCAATACTTTCATGTGTTTAAAGGGTTCAGGCTTCATGTCGGGGTCCTGATCTCCCCGTCTGGGCTGTTTTTGTTTGCATTACTCAAATATAATGCAGACATACAGGAGTCAGAGTCAGTGATCACGGCAGTGATACTTTTATCTGAGCTTGGACTCTCTGTCTTTGTGTGCTGAATGTTTGATAAGCAGGTGAATGTCTGCAGTGCTGCTGTCTGACAGAGATCTGGCAGTGCTTTTCAGTCCGAGGCAATATTTAGTTTTAGATTTTCTATGTATATCCAGTCCAATCTCGCTCTCTCTCTCTGGCTCAGTTCTGGCTAATGATGATCAGTCTGTCTGTGAGCTCCTGCTTTATGTGTGGATTATTACTCACACAGCGCCGTGGCTTATTAAACACACACACACACACAGATGTCTCCTCTCGCTCCTCGTGGAGTGAGCTGTCGTATTGCTGTGTTCCTGTAGCTCAGCGGTAAATATCTCTGTTATGACAGACAACAGTTACAAATGATCTAGACTCTGGGATGTGTTAGAGGATGTCAGTCTAATATGCAGAAAAA